AGTTTATATAATGTTGTTTTTTTTAAAGTGTAAATAGTACTTCTTACGTTTATAGAATTGTTAGTTGTTAACTTTAATTTTTTATGTTTCATTATGTATAATATTTCGTTCATACAAGGTTTTGGTTTGTCATTAATCATGACAATATTATTTTGAAGGAGAACAATATGGTTTGTAGATGCTAAACCATATTGTTCAACGACAAATCTTATTTGGTTGATAGACGAGTTTCACAATATTATTTTGAAGGAGAACAATATGGTTTGTAGAAGCTAAATACACAAATTTAATCAAATGATTGAAAATATAGTGAGTTTAATTGAGTATAAATTAGTATTTTTAGAACCGATAACCCGATTAGTATCCGAAACCGAAATTATTTCGGGTTCAACCGGATCTTGGACATGTTACTAAACCCGAACCGAACCCGACTAAACCCGAACCGAATCCGACCCGAATTTTTATAATATCCGAATGGGGCTGAAATTCATNAATATAGTGAGTTTAATTGAGTATAAATTAGTATTTTTAGAACCGATAACCCGATTAGTATCCGAAACCGAAATTATTTCGGGTTCAACCGGATCTTGGACATGTTACTAAACCCGAACCGAACCCGACTAAACCCGAACCGAATCCGACCCGAATTTTTATAATATCCGAATGGGGCTGAAATTCATGAACCCGAAAACCCGAAACCCGAATGAACCCGAACCGAAACCCGATTGGGACCCCGATTGCCCAGCCCTAGTGTGTAGTGTGGTTACTTATTTTAGTATGAAACTTGCACTCAATAGTAACACTTATTTGTGCGATCTTATTCGCAATAATCGGACAGAAACAAATCCATTTAAATCATAAAACAATAACTCTTCAGGAGAATACGCCATAACATAAAGTCTATTTAATCATACAAAACTCTCAAGCTACCGATAAAATAAACAAAACAAGAACATTCTAGATCCTTCCAAGGACCCTCTCTGCCGCAGAAATGGTAAACTGAATATCCTCAGGAGTGTGAGCCAAGCTAGTAAACCCAGCCTCGAACTGAGACGGTGCAAAGTAAACACCTTCCTCCAACATCCCCCTGAAAAATTTACCAAACTTCTCTGTGTCGCTCTTCTTAGCGTCAGCAAAGTTGTAAACCGGTCCTTCCGCGAAAAAGAAACCGAACATACCACTTATGTAACCCCCGCACATTGGATGTCCTGTTTTCTTCCCTGCTTCTAAAATCCCGTTGGTTAGCTCCTTGGTGATCTTGTCTAGATACTCGTAGGTTCCTGGCTGCTTAAGCCGCTTCAACGTGTGGATACCTGCGGTCATTGCCAACGGGTTGCCACTTAGAGTCCCAGCTTGGTACATTGGTCCTGCAGGAGCAACCTGCAACCAAAAACAAGTAACAGAAAAATGTTATTACTTATTAACAAGGGCAACTTTTAGCCGGAACCTAAGCGGATCTTGTATCTTTAGAACCGAAAAACCAAAAATCCAAAACGAACCAAAACCGAAAACCGAATGGATATCTAAATTTCTATAATATAGTTTATATACTTTTAAATATTAACTATATTTATTCGTTAAATAATCAAATAATTAAAAAATATTATTTATAAACTGAAATACCAAAAAAAAAAATTACCAGAATATTTTATATCCAAAATATTTAAAATTTTCCAAACTTTTATCCATAACCCCAAAATATCTGTTTTTTAATCTGAAAATCCCCATTTTTAACCCAAATTAACCGAAAAACCGGAACCGAATGGGATCCGAAATTACTTCGGATATTAGCTGGTTCCTAACTTTGTTACCGGAACCCAACCAAAACCAAAATAACCAAACCGGAACCAAAACGAATTGTAAATACTCGAACGGATCCTAAACATCTAGAACCGAAAAAATCAAATCAGAACTGAACGGAAAACCTAACATGAACCGAATGCCCAGGGCTTAATAAATTAACAACAACAATACTTAAACTTTAGTTAACGTGTAGGTTTAGATCTTACCATTTCCATAATATCTCGTCTACCACCATAAGCTCCCACAGGAAGACCACCACCAATAATTTTCCCAAGAGTTGTCAAGTCAGGAGTGATTCCAAAATACTCTTGAGCTCCACCATAAGCCAAACGAAAGCCAGTCATGACTTCATCAAATATCAAAAGAGCACCATTGTCCTTAGTCACCTGCCTTAACCCATTGATAAACTCCTGAGTAGGTTGGATGAATCCAGAGTTCCCAACAACAGGTTCCAAAATAACCGCAGAGATCTCTCCTTTATTCGCCTCAAAAAGCTTCACAACAGCTTCAATATCATTGTAAGGAGCCGTAAGAGTATCTGAAGTAGCTGCTTTAGGCACACCAGGCGAGTCAGGTAACCCTAAAGTGGCTACACCACTACCTGCCTTAACAAGAAAGGCGTTGGCGTGGCCGTGATAACACCCTTCGAATTTAATAAACTTCTCTTTGTTAGTGAAAGCTCTTGCGAGACGGAGCACACCCATACAAGCTTCGGTTCCAGAGTTAACAAACCGAACCATCTCAATACTGGGAACTGCTGATATAACCATCTCAGCGAGAACATTCTCTAGGAGACAAGGAGCACCAAAGCTTGTTCCTTTCTTCATTGTCTCAGCTAAAGCCGCAAGAACCTGCAGTAAAGTTCGTTTCTTTATCCAAAAAACAGAGAAAAACAGAGAAAAACAGAGAAAAACAGAGAAAACAGAGTAAAAAACAGAGCGCATAAGATTTTTAAGTTAACCTCATCATCAGCATGGCCGATGATAGCTGGTCCCCAAGATCCAACGTAGTCAACGTACTCGTTTCCATCAATGTCCCACATCTTTGAGCCTTTAACGGAATCAATCAAAACAGGTTGCCCACCAACGGATTTAAAGGCTCGAACAGGGGAGTTCACACCTCCAGGCATTAGATTCTTTTAACATTAAAAAAATCATTTTTGAGAATAAAGGTTAGTCATTTCAACTCTAATAAACATTTTGTTAATACCAATCAATCAAAGTTTCGATTTTTTTACTTTTTATTTATTTACCTTGGCGGCATTGAAAGCTTCTTCGGATTTCTGAAGAGTGAAGCTTTTCTTCTTCTCGTCGACGGAGACTGACATCTTGATGCTGCAGCGAGGAGAGGGAGAGGGAGAGGGAGAGAGTCTCTTTGGGATCTTTGAGGAACAGGAGAAGCCCAAGGCAGTTCCTGATCCCGTGAGTGTTGCCGACATCTTTGCGCGGTCGGAGATGGAGTTGGTGGTAATCGGAGTGGGTGGGCGCTTTGAGAGAAGATGAGAAGAAGAGTCAACAAGATAAGGCGATGATGGCGATTGGCTAGCAACCAGTGTTTTTATATGTCCGAACCGGGTTGGATCCGGCCCGGATAGCCAGTTCTGTTACATGGATAGTTGGATACCATGCTCTAATATTTTTTATTTATTTTATGTTTTTCAGACAAAATTTAATTTAGTTTTGGTGGTATATGCTTTTATTAAATCAAAAAATATTTAATATTTGTGTGATATTTAATTTATATTTTTAGATATGGGTAAACAAAAAAACATATAGTCATGTGTTCAGAATGTCATTTAATTTATTCGAATTGTAATTGCCTCTAGAATTGTTTTTTTTTTTTTAGTTCTGAAATTATACATACGAGGAAAACTCTATAATCAACATTAAAATTAAGCTTCAGAGAGAATGATAAAGCTTGATTTTCTAATGTTAACTGTATTGTGTGTTTGTGCATGTGCGATCCTTAGGATGACTAGGCATGGGCACACAATTTTATAATCCTAATCGAACTAAACCCAAACCAAAATCATGATTTATGTTTCGTGCAAAAAGTAAAAATATTCAAAAAGATCTCGTAAGATGTAACAAAACATCTTCGAATCCAAAGTGTTATTAACTGAACTTGAATAAATAATCTAAAATAATATACAATATAAATATATAAACATAAAATAGACTTCACATATTCAATTTAATATTTATTTTGATATAATATCTAAAAATAAATATTTAAATTTTAAATGCATAGCTTAAATACTCAATTTTATATACATACGTGTATAATTCTTATGTTTTGCTTTTAAATTTTAAATTTTAAATTTTAAATTTTAAATTTTAAATTTTAAATTTTAAATTTTAAATTTTAAATTTTAAATTTTAAATTTTAAATTTTAAATTTTAAATTTTAAATTTTAAATTTTAAATTTTAAATTTTAAATTTTAAATTTTAAATTTTAAATTTTAAATTTTAAATTTTAAATTTTAAATTTTAAATTTTAAATTTTAAATTTTAAATTCACTTTGAATATATCTGAACCAATCTTATATAATCTAAATCCTAATGATATATGGTTATTTTATAGTTTTAAGATATGATACAAATTGTGACTGAAACCGATGTGTTATATTCGATATGTACTTACAAATTTGTTAGAATATAACATAGGATGCGATACAAATTAGAATCAAAATGCGAAGTACCTAACTGAATCTCAATGGGTATCTGAACATTGTGTCTAAAATAAATGAGTATGAATAACGTGTTGAGATAACTATGAAGGATATCCAACTGCATACGGTAAAGATTCATAATCTGAAGAAGAAAGTTAAGCTTTTGAGCTCTTACCAAACACCATTTTAAAAGTAACACAATAGCTTTCTTTATTTATTAAACTTTCTTTACATTTTGCTTCACCGACGAGCAATATTATATAATCAATCATCCATTATTTACAAGACAGCATTAATCTTGATCCCATCTCCACTTGTTTCCCTGCTTGTGATCATATGTCTATGGCATCAGTTGGTCTTGAAGCCATCTCTACTTTGTCCCAAGGTATACTATAATATTATTTCATGAATGTATATACGTACATGCATGCTTGGGAATTATTATACTAATTATTTGTCGTGTAGCAGATGTGTTGGGTGAATTATGGAATGGAAATACTAGTAATTTCAATAATCTTGTCGAACCAGAGATAATATTGCATGATGGCAATAACGAAACAAATGAGACCACGAGACAGAAGAAGAGATTCAGAAAAGACAGATTCCCTGCTTGTGATCATATGTCTATGGCATCAGTTGGTCTTGAAGCCATCTCTACTTTGTCCCAAGGTATACTATAATATTATTTCATGAATGTATATACGTACATGCATGCTTGGGAATTATTATACTAATTATTTATCGTGTAGCAGATGTGTTGGGTGAATTATGGAATGGAAATACTAGTAATTTCAATAATCTGGTTCGACAAGATTATTGAAATTACTAGTATTTCCATTCCATAATTCACCCAACACATCTGCTACACGACAAATAATTAGTATAATAATTCCCAAGCATGCATGTACGTATATACATTCATGAAATAATATTATAGTATACCTTGGGACAAAGTAGAGATGCTTCAAGACCAATTGATGCCATAGACATATGATCACAAGCAGGGAAACAAGTGGAGATGGGATCAAGATTAATGCTGTCTTGTAAAGAAAACCTACTTTCATCTCCATAATATCTCGTCTACCACCATATGCACCCACGGGAAGCCCACCACCGATGATTTTCCCAAGAGTAGTCAAGTCAGGAGTGATTCCAAAATACTCTTGAGCTCCACCATAAGCTAAACGAAAGCCAGTCATGACTTCATCAAATATCAAAAGAGCACCATTGTCCTTAGTCACCTGCCTTAACCCATTGATGAACTCAGGAGTAGGTTGGATGAATCCAGAGTTCCCAACAACAGGTTCAAGAATAACAGCAGAGATCTCTCCTTTATTCGCCTCAAAAAGCTTCACAACAGCTTCAATATCATTGTAAGGAGCCGTAAGAGTATCTGAAGTAGCTGCTTTAGGCACACCAGGCGAGTCAGGTAACCCTAAAGTGGCTACACCACTACCTGCCTTAACAAGAAAGGCGTTGGCGTGACCGTGATAACACCCTTCGAATTTAATAAACTTCTCTTTGTTAGTGAAAGCTCTTGCGAGACGGAGCACACCCATACATGCTTCGGTTCCAGAGTTAACAAACCTAACCATCTCAATACTGGGAACTGCTGATATAACCATCTCAGCGAGAACATTCTCTAGGAGACAAGGAGCACCAAAGCTTGTTCCTTTCTTCATTGTCTCAGCTAAAGCCGCAAGAACCTGCAGTAAAGTTCGTTTCTTTATCCAAAAAACAGAGAAAAACAGAGAAAAACAGAGAAAACAGAGTAAAAAACAGAGCACATAAGATTTTTAAGTTAACCTCATCATCAGCATGGCCAATGATAGCTGGTCCCCAAGATCCAACGTAGTCAATGTACTCGTTTCCATCAATGTCCCACATCTTTGAGCCTTTAACGGAATCAATCAAAACGGGTTGCCCACCAACGGATTTAAAGGCTCGAACAGGGGAGTTCACACCTCCAGGCATTAGATTCTTTTAACATCCAAAAAAAAAAAAAATCATTTTTGAGAATAAAGGTTAGTCATTTCAACTCTAATAAACATTTTGTTAATACCAATCAATCAAAGTTTCGATTTTTTTTTAATTTTATTTACCTTGGCGGCATTGAAAGCTTCTTCGGATTTCTGAAGGGTGAAGCTTTTCTTCTTCTCGTCGACGGAGACTGACATCTTGATGCTGCAGCGAGGAGACGGAGAGGGAGAGGGAGAGAGTCTCTTTGGGATCTTTGAGGAACAGGAGAAACCCAAGGCAGTTCCTGATCCTGTGAGTGTTGCCGACATCTTTGCGCGGTCGGAGATGGAGTTGGTGGTAATCGGAGTGGGTGGGCGCTTTGAGAGGAGATGAGAAGAAGAGTCAACAAGATAAGGCGATGATGGCGATTGGCTAGCAACCAGTGTTTTTATATGTCCGAACCGGGTTGGATCCGGCCCGGATAACCAATTCTGTCACATGGATAGTTGGATACCATGCTCTAATATTTTTGATTTATTTTATGTTTTTTGCAGACAAAATTTAATTTAATTTTGGTGGTATATGCTTTTATTAAATCAAAAAATATTTAATATTTGTGTGATATTTAATTTATATTTTTAGATATGGGTAAACAAAAAAACGTATAGTCATGTGTTCAGAATGTCATTTAATTTATTGGAATTGTAATTGCCTTTAGAATTGTTTTTTTTTTTAGTTCTGAAATTATACATACGAGGAAAACTCTATAATCAACACTAAAATTAAGCTTCAGAGAGAATGATAAAGCTTGATTTTCTAATGTTAACTGTATTGTGTGTTTGTGCATGTGCGATCCTTAGGATGACTAGGCATGGGCACAAAATTTTATAATCCTAATATGAACTAAACCCAAACCAAAATCATGATTTATATTCCATTCAAAAGTGAAAAATATTCAAAAAGATCTCGTAAAATATCACAAAACATATTTGAACCTAAAGTGTTATTAACCGAACCAAAACAAATAACTTAAAATAATATACAATATAAATATTTGAACATAAAACTAGACTTCACATATTCAATTTAATATTTATTTTGAGATAATATCTAAAAATAAATATTTAAATTTTAAATCCATACTTTAAATACTCAATTTTATATACATACGTGTATAATTCTTATGTTTTATTTTTAAATTTTAAATTTTACTTTGGATATATCTAAACCAACCTTATATAATCTGAATCCTAATGATATATAGTTACTTTATAGTTTTAAGATATGATACAAATTAGGATTGAAACCAATGTGTTATATTCAATATGTACTTACAAATTTGTTAGAATATGACACAGGGTGCGATACAAATTAGAATCAAAAGTGAAGTAGCGAACCGAATAATGGGTATCTGAACATCTATGCCTAAAAAAAAAAAAAAATAACGTGTTGAGATAACTATGAAGGATATCCAACTGCATACGGTAAAGATTCATAATCTGAAGAAGAAAGTTAAGCTTTTGAGCTCTTACCAAACACCATTTTAAAAGTAACACAATAGCTTTCTTTATTTATTAAACTTTCTTTACATTTTGCTTCACCGACGAGCAATATTATATAATCAATCATCCATTATTTATTTTTTTAAATCATAATTAATTCAACACACATGCATAAACCACAATGATCAAATATCCATAAGCCCTTCGAACACCTTCATAGCCGAGCCAGGAAGTCCAAGCAACACATTGATACTCTTCGTGTCACTGCCACATGGCAAAAACAGAATCACTTCCTTCTCAGGTAAACCAACCGGTCCAGACACAACCGGCTCACCCCAACCGAAATCTTTAGTATGAAACGACAGTTTTGCCCACGACGTGATCAAAAGCGTCGCGGTTAGACTCGGCCTAGCCCTAGTCACCTCGAAGTAATCAATCGCTGACCTCATGAAACCGTCGTTGACCATTTCAACGGCTCTTTTGACCAAACCCACCGTATGTGAGAGAGGGTTTAGAGTCACCTCACCAGCCGTTGTAACCGAATAAGTGAACACAATCCCGTTTCCTGAATATCCTTTAGGAAGTTCCGGAACGAATCTTGACCGTCCATCTGCAGCAAAGAGAAGTTTTATACGTTGATCTGGTTTAAGCCCCAAGGCTTGGCAACGAGCTCTCCATAGGAATCCGGTTAGGGTTTGGAATGTCGTGGTTTTTGTCTCTGCCATGATCTTGAGCTTCTCTAGCTTTTCGGGTCCAAAGAGAAAGGATTTGTAGACGAGTTTCTCGTCCGAGTAGAGTTTTCCTGTACCGGAGATGTCGTCAAGATCTTCGAACTCGTTGTGTGGGAACTCGATCTTTGGTGGTGTCCTTGGTCGGAGAAGTGTGCGGTCCAAGAAAGGTGGGACTGAGAGTGGAATTCCACGAGCAGTTTCGGCCCATGAGTTGAGAAATTCCATGGCTGCGATACCATCGAACATATTGTGGTTCATGCCTAGGCCTAACACGAATCCTCCGCATTTGAAATTTGTTACCTAATAAACAAAACAAAACAAAAAAAGAAAAAGACAAAAGTTGTATATATGCATAATACTTGTCTTTTACAACCAATATCTCCATATTCTTTTCCTTGTTTTTTTTCTTAAAAAACACCTATAAATATATGTAACGTTTATTTATACCAAAAACATAAGAAAAATATATAATTGATCACATAACAACAACAAAAATGTAATTGACACTCCAACTTATATTTTATCAGTATTTAATAAACATTATATCCATCTATAAATATTATTAATTCCTGAATTTATTTTACTAATTATAGTATTGATGCGTGCATGATCAATATGTAATGAAACTATCAATCTACTTCTGCTATTAATTTTGAAATATTTTTTTGAAACCTACATTGGACCAAACCCTACCTTAAGTGATCATGTTTGTTCATTCACGCAAAACGGCAAGAAATAAAAGAGAAACGATCGATCAACCACTCACCTGAACAACCACCGGTGGAATCTCAAGAATATTCCGGGCACCAGGAACATTGTAAACAAGCTTTTCAAGAGTCTCCGGCTGATCAATCTCCCATATAGCTTCTTTAATCATCTCTATCCCACAATTAGCCTCTGCTTCCACCACCACGACTCCTTCTCCGGTGCAGTTCACGGCGATCTTACCTTCGGGACTGATCGTGAGTCTCCCGGCGGCTGGATAGTAGTGAACAAGAACCTCGGAGAATGACTTCTTGATGACGTCAGCTGATTCCTCGTTGGATCTTGAGTTTGATTTGAAGTAGTAGAATGTTTTGACGATGATGGCTATGTTTTGGTCGAGGTTTGAGAGGTAATGGAGACCTTTTGGAGTTTCGGAGGCTGGAGAGATGAGAACAGGATCTTTTCTGGTTACAATGAGCTCGAATGAGTTGGCCATCTTTTAGGGTTTTGGTTGGTGAAGAGAAACCAAAGATGTTATATGTTTAGAGGATTGGGAATGGGTTTGGATTTCTTGGGGGATTTAATAAAAGGGGTTAAGTAGAGGCTAGGGTTTGAGGTTAATTGTGGTACACGTAAATATATCAGCAAATGATAGAAGAAAGATCAAAAAGAGACGAGTATTGAGAGTAATGCTTTTAAATGCTTTTTATTAAAAAAAAAAATAAGAATTGGGTTTAATTTCCAGGATATATAATATTCTTAGTTATGGATGTTGTGACAAGATAGATTGGTCTAATAGAACGGACTCTATTACGATTGGTTCTAAATAATTCATTTGTTTGAGTTTGCATGCATTTATCAAAACTGATTAACGTAATAAGGTGAAAATGATAACGTTTGGTTCATTCCTGTCCTGGCTGAGCTGATCGCATACATGTACATGTCAAGAGTACACATATTATACATTTCAAGAACCAGCCACAATTGGTTCGTTTTAATTGTATATAACTCAAATCTGAATCATAACTTGTAAAATGATAGAATTTATCAACTTATCAAAAAAAAGATGATAGAATTTATCAGAACTATGTAATTTTAGAAAAGTATAATCCAAATGCATGGAAAGGGCCGTGAGTAAGGGAATGAAACAATTGAATATGATATATATTTAACAGTTGGTGGTTGATTATTATATACTGTACAAAGAATATGGGAAATTGTCAAATTATGGAGCCACCTTTAATCAGTCTATGTAAATGGATTTATCATACTGATTACGTTTACATTTAAAGTTCGAAGAATTGTAGAGCACTGACTTCAATTTATATATAAAATTTAATAGTATTAGGAGTTCGTTGGCTAGTCATAAGCCACCATATTATTAACCAAACCCTTCACAAACACAGGTCTCACTGGGATTAGTTGAAATTATTCAAATAAAAGACACATTCGGATTAATGAATCAGTAATTCTATATATTTAAATAGCATTAGTTGTAACTAATTCCATATTAATAAATTGAAGGTTCATCTCGTGTAGCGATTGTGGACTCTACTAAGGATATTGAGCAGTGCCGTCCCAAGAAAACATGAGGCTTAAAGCCAGTTAAAATAATGTGGCCCTTTAAATAAAATTGCCAATGAAAAAGCATATAAAGTTGATTGTGGTCTTGTTCGAACCAGAGACAAATAGGCTTGCCATCTCTTGCTTAACCATCTGAGCTACATAGAATTTCTAAAAAGTGGTCCATGTTTTAGTTATATATTTTGTGGCCTAAAGCCAATGCTTTATGTGCCTTATAGAAGGGACGGGCCTGATATTGAGTAGACGGTTGATGTATCAGACTCGACCCTATCTTTCATTATTGCCGAGATAATGGCCTACTTCTTCACATCCACCGTGCAATGCACGCTGTTATTGATAGACAAAAGAATCATGGTATGCACTTCTGTTATATAAATTGGTGTCACGAAAATCTGGAAACTGAACCAAATCCAAAATTTTCATCGAATCATATTCCATAATACAAAACTTTTGGGCATAATTAAATATGTAAAAAACCAGTGCGAAGTCGCACGCTGACTTATTTTATAAAAATAAATATACCATATTTTATAACTTAATTTTTTTTAAATATTGTTTATTTTGTTTTTCAACGAAATCCTTGTAATATGTGTACAATGTGGATTACATGTGTCTATATTCATTTATATATACTATTAAATATTTATATTAATTTTAAAATTTCAGATTATAATTCAATTTCATATGCCAATACTAAGTTAAATATATATCCTATTAATATTTTAAAGTTATTTAAAATTATAAATATAATTTAATATATTTAAAACTAATTAAAAGAAGCAAACACATTTAAACCTAATCATTTACTAAACTAATGAATTTAAATTATAATGATGAGTATGACATTCATAATTTATTTTAAGTCATGTAAATATATATGTATAGTCAAAAAATGATCACATGGAAACATTAAGAGATCTTCTCCACTAACATGGTTTTTTGGTAAATTACACGTGTATTTTTTCTTATTATTTATATCTGTTATAAAATTATATTTTTGCCTATAGCTATGAAATCTCTATTTTCTAGAAAAATTTAGACAATTCAGGGATCAAAACTCTTTGATATTCATCATATATCAATGTTGGATGCAGCTATGCATAAATACAAAATTTCCATAATTTTCTAGTCTATCTTTAAATTTGTGAGTTAACTATGAAAAGATCGAGTTCTTTT